TTATAGACTAATCATTTATACCTGTTATCCCATTATTTATGCCAACGGAGAAAAATAATTAACAATTGAATAACTTTTTGAGAAATGGTGATAAAAATTTATTTCTACGGGACTATATTATTTCAAGTGTTAATAAGATATTAGATTTTTTTTTATTTTTAAAATGACATTTTATGTTTTAAAAAATGATTTCTTTTGATAAACTCTCTTCAGCGGCAGCGCACGCATGCCGTAAGTTTCGGGAGTCGAGAATTTTTTATCGGAAATTTCCTCCCCATTAACGAGCTTTTTTCAAAATTGCCTGAATATTAATATCTTTTGAGTTATTAACGGAAAACTAAATATCATTTTTTTTAAATCTCATTTTGTTAATAACAATAGCAATTTCATACCTGCACCAGAATCCTTCAAAAACATTTTTCTAGAGGTGATTCCGAATAGAATAAGCTATCGCTCATATTTTTAGGACCTTCATCTCTATTTTTGATGGTTTTGAACTTGTTGATTAAACTAATAATTGATTGGGGAGAAATAAGCCTTGAAAGAAGGATTACTGCAACACAAAAATTTCCAAAACCAAAAAATACGAATTTTCTTTGTGTTTAAAAAAAAATCTGTTTAAAATCTGTTTTTCCGTCATCAAAACAATTTACAGAAGTAACGACAGGACCTTATTTTAAAATTGTTGTCACTGATGATGGTAGTTATTCCAAAAGAAACGCTATAAAAATATCAAATGTGATATACTCTTGGATTATGAATTTATTGCTCTATCAACATTTGTAATAAAAAGGACAGGTCCGTATTGAAAACAAGTTGATGCTGGCCATGTTGACACGAAACGTTTTAACGAATATCTATCATTACATCGCCATAGCACACTTCGAATACCTTAACATTTTCCCTTTTCATTTTTTTATATTCTTTGAAATAACAATTCTACTCGAAAAAAAAAAACTATAAACAGCATTTTTGGTTTTCCCCGTATAACTCGAGAAGGGCGAGAGTCCCCGTAAATTTTCTTCGACTATTGTCCCCGATGACAGTTACATTTTTTCCCATTTGATCGTCTTCGTATCTGTTATAGTTCAGAATATAGCAACGTTACCACATGATAAAAAGAAACGGCCTGTAAGTATATATGAATATCAATACAAAAATCAACTTACAATTCGTGAAACTCCGGTGACTTTGTAGAATTCCTGAACGCTCCTGGAGGAGACAAACTCTCGGAATCCGAATACGGACTTGTCACTACTGAACTTGGACTCCTCTGAGACTTGTCAGGACTCCTCCTGATGGTCCCCTCCGTCAAACTCCTTTTGAGCGGATCGTACCTTTTCACGTCCTCCCTGTAGTATTCCTCGCGGTACTCCCTCCGTTGGCCATTCAGGGTACCAGGCCTGAAAATGTCATCTGCAGGGTCCCACTTGTGCACTGTACTAGACTTCGACGTGAATTCAGGATAAACTTGCGTTTGCACTTTTCTCAGTGTATCTCCCGAACTCTTGTTAACACTGGCCTTCCGCACTAGGCTAGGGCTTGAGAGCCCTCTGGAGGGTTCCGCAATCATGTCTGCCTTGACGCCGTAGCTGAAAGGCTGGCTTGTCTGACGCGCGTGGTATGGGATGGCCTTCTCTTCCTCTTCGTCTATATAGCGAACATCATCGAGATTCGCGCCTTCGTGCGGTTTCAGATCGGGAATGCTTTGGACTGTGAGCATCATATCCGAGAGGAGCTCGTCTAGCTCGCGGTGTTGATCCTCGGGGGTGAGTGGGGAAGGCTGGGCGGTCAGTGGGGGGCTCGTGGAGGCGTTGGTGTTGGCGTTCTGTTGGTGTCCTGCGGAAAATTCGAGTCGGTTAGTTCGATTCAGGCCAGCGGAGTAACGAAGTGGAACTAAGTGAAGATGAATTGTTTGGATAGTTAATTGAGGACGATTGGATGGATAGTTTGACACGAGGTGGAGTTATTTTTTATGAATGAGCGGTGAAAGATTTGGGAAATATGGGAGTCAGGTATTATAAACTGATCGTAATAATATGTCAACCCATTTAGATTGTTGGGTCGCCAGAAATAATTCACAAGTGCAATTTTCTTGCATAAGCTTTTAATGGAACTTAGGTGGAAAATTCTGTGGCTTCAGGGCCTGCAATATGGCCGCCCCTTCAATGAAATAGTACCATTTTCCAGACAGATTAAAATAGGCGACAGCTTTAGGCTTATATAATCCTAAAATTATGAGAATTTCAATATATTTGCTCTGAGTGCTGGTGAATATTTGGCCATATCTCTTTTCATCATTTTTTTAATACCTTGTTGTAAAGTCTATTCAAACAACGAGAAAAACATTTTTATTTTTGTGAAATTCCAATATTTTTCTTGAAGATATATGGTTTGGGCCTTCTACCTGTAACTATGTTATGAAATGCTAATGTATTTTCTATTCAGGTAGTGTATTTTGCCAAATGCCTTTTTATAATTCATGAAACTAAGACCCAGCATCATTTGTGAAAGCTCAGAACATTTTTGAATAATAGTTTGTGAACAGATCTTGAGCAACCATTCTCTGAGGTTTGTTAAAAAGGTATTAAGTCAAAAATCTCATTTGTTCAGAAATCGAGATTGAACATTCAAGGTTATGTCATAAATCGAACCACGAAAACCCAATTTCACTAATATCTTGTATTCGAATGGTTGAACAAAATGCAATAAAGGATATTGTATTAGTGCAACCTCTTACCTGGAATATGAATGACTTAAGCCCTTAAGCATATTTGGTCGAGAAAAAAAGGTTCAAAAGGGCATAAGACTTCAATTATTGTAAGGTCATTAACGCAAAAGTGTACAAAAACAACGAACTTTATTATTACTGGAATGTTAATTTACGTGTAACAATTGAATAATTGAAATAATGTGACATTCCTGTTCCACTAACCATTTAACAGAACTTCTTCAAGATCTTGATCAATAGTGTTTTCTGAGGTTGACAAGTTAAAATAAAATTCATGAAAAACTGGCGGAACCAAACGTAGTAAAGCAACCAAATCTTTTTCTCTTCTGCTGAAATAGAAACCTTGGCTTTATATTTCTGTTCCAATGAAATCTGCTTCAAGTTCGCGTTTCTTCCACGTCGTAGAAAGGTCACAGAAATGAATGGATCAACCAAATTCAATGAGGTTTTGTAATTAAGAATTCCTATCTCATCTCTTCTGCATCTTCTGTTCTTTCATATTTTTTCCTTCGACATCATGATCATTTTCTCCCTCAGCATTTTTGTGCTCTTCCATATTTTCTTCGTTGATGCGTGATTGTTGAATAACGTCATTTATTATTGGGTCTTTAGATTTTCGAGATGAATTCGTATGTTTGATTTGAGTGTGTGATACTGAAGTCAGAATTGAAAAGAAAATTCTGAACACCAGGTGGCAAACTTCGTGGTGACGGAGAAGAATTTGAAGAAATTGGGGAGGACGGCACTGTGCAGGACAAAATTAGTTTTGTAGGTTATGTCACGAATATTTTTACTAACGTTCTTACCTGGTAAACAGTCAACATGATTTAATGCTAATTGTAGTAGCTTTTTACCTCGGTTACTCATTTTATTGAACAGCACACAAATTGAAACGGTTTTCTCGATTGTTCACTCCACAGCACGGTATAAAAAACACAGAGGCACTATGATATTTTTTGTACATTAGGTTGATATGACGGGCTCAATATGACAAAAGCCTGTGAGACCAGAGGCTTGCTCCTCATTCTTTGTTTGGTACAATGGACGCATGTTGACTAAAGCCCATAATATCAAACATCATTCTACATTTCTGACTTAATTCCCTATTACCAGAGCAAATTGTGTGGGGCAAAAACTGTCCAGACTCAAGCCGTTTATATCAATCGAGAGAGCATGCAACTTTGACTTAAGCTCCACAAAAACACCAAAACGGTGTAATATTGACTTAAGCCTTTTTTACCAAACTTCAAAGCATTTCAGTGAACATTCCCTTTTGGAATAAGTACATTAATTGCTCGTATTTTCAATTTGTAACAAGTCTTACAACTAGACTAGACAATACACAATTGTCGGTTCTGGAATAATTATTAATTTTATTGGTAATATCACGACTCGCGGTAAATTGGTCGCGAGTGAAACAGACCAATGGAAAATCTTCATATGCATAAGTTTTATTGATAATTTTGAGGTGGAATAGCTACTTTGATATTGTACAACAGTCAAGTACGGAGAAATATTTTATATACGACCTTCTATTTTGAAAAAGCTGATATAATAGAGATGAAAATGATAGGGATGATGATAAATATGTACAGCTCTCAGATGTAAGCATCCTGCAACATCTGGATGCCGAAAAGACGTATAATTATCTCGGGGTGGAACAAGACACTCACAAAAAGTAACGGCGATGAAAAACTCTCTCCGCGACAAATTTCAGCAGAAACTCCGTCAGATCTGGTCATCGAAACTGTCAGGGAAGAATATGCAGTTGCTGCAAAGAATATGCTTGCCGTTCCAACTTCTTACTCTTCTTGTTTGGAGTAGTGAAGTGGACTCGGGAGGAGCTGTGCCAACTCGACGTAAATACCCGAAAAATAATGCATCTCCATGTGAGATTGTATCCCAAATCGTCCTTTCGGCGGTTGTACTTCCCCCGTACACAGGGAGGCCGTGGACTTTTGAGTTTGGAGTGTCTACATGACAAAATAGTACTGGATGGAGCCTCTAAAGTCGTCAGGAGTTTTTTTTTTTAATATACTTTATTGTCTGAAGAATACATTCTTATTGACAAAGCCTTGTGCGAAATATAAATAACATATACATGAAATCACAAAAGTAAAATCACTAAAAGTAGGTTATAACGTGAACTGAAAAGAGACATGTAAATAATAACAAACGTTCAGGATATAAGAAAATGGTCAACAAAATGTAAATAAATCAATTTAAACTAAATTGAATGAAATGAAATCAATAGAATACCGTAGAGATATTACAGTTAGTCTTCTCAATTAAAATTATCATCATAGAATTCTGCTAAGCTATAATAAGGTCTCCCAGAGAACAAGTCTTTCAACTCTTTCTTAAGAGCTCTAAGGTCATTTATGGTTCTTATAGCTTGAGGAAGGTGATTGAACATTTTAAGACCGTTGTAAATAATGGAATCTTTAGCTAGCGACGAAGAAGGCAGCGGTAATTTAAAGCTGAATCTTTGCCTGGTTTGATACATTGGCGCGTCCAAGTTGTTAAACAATACCCTATTTTTGAAGACAAGGCAGATTGTATCGTATATAAATAGGGAGACCACAGTTAGGATTTTGTTAGAGGCAAAAAGAGGTCGACAAGAGTCCCTAGGCTTGGCTTTGCATATGCATCGTATTGCACGTTTTTGTATCAGTAATACTGATTGAAGGCATGTGGTAGAACACACACCCCAAAAGCAAATACCATAACGGAGGTGTGGTTCAAAAAGGGAATGATAAACCATTCTAGCTTCTGCAGATCCGAGCTCAAATGCAGTTACTCGTATGGCATAACATCCAGAGGAGAGCTTCGATTTCAAAGTATCTACATGATTGTTGAATTTTAAACTATTGTCAATGAACAAGCCAAGGAATTTAGAAGCTGGTACGTTATCTATTTGAATATTATTTAGATGTACGGCTGGAATCTGGCAACGATAGGACACTACTTTTGTTTTTGATAAATTCAAGCTCAAGAGATTTGAGTCAAACCAGTCCTTCACTATCGTGATGTCATTCTCAATAACTTCATACAACGTATGGTTGTTAGGAGCATGCCATAAAATTGTAGTATCATCAGCAGAGTGAATTTTCCTTGGATGTTCATAGACGATAGGATTATTGTAAATTAAGAATGGAAGTGGGCTCACTACCGAACCTTGTGGGACGCCGCAAGTAATTGAGATAAGGAGCGTTTGAAGAGTTGAAGGGTGTTACTTTGTTAAATTTCATTAGGATGTTTGTTATAGTACAAGAGTCCTCTGTGAAAAATAGAATTCATTGTTCTTGCAAGGTTAGTTCGTGGGACAACCAAGTAATCTCTTTCTCTTGTATCGTATTTGTGTATCTGATGGTTATATGTAATAAACTCAATGAAGTAATGTGGTGCTTTTCCAGTGAGTATTTTGAATATGAATATCATAGAAAAATTCATCATTCATCCAATTCAGAATATTAATCATTGATAATATAGGAGTATATTTATGGCATTTTAATAACAAGCGCATTCCTCTGGTAATGATATCAAAGCAACAGAGTAATCAAAGTGTGGTTGAATTATTGTTTTATAAACAGTCAAATTAGATTGGAATGTTAATTGTCTACTAATTCTAGTAAAGAAAAACTATTTTTTAGAAATTTTATTACACATATACTAGAAGTGTTTTTTTGAAGTTATGAATCCTAGGTATTTGAATTCTTTCACAATTTCTTTAGTTTCGCCGTAGATCGTATAGTTTAGCCGTGGATGTGATATCAATTAAGTTATATTTATATTGTGTTGTCAATATCATAGCTTTCGTTTTAGTGGTATTTAGTTTGAGTTTGTTTATGTTCAAAAACTTCGCCACGTTTTCAAGAGTCAAATTAATTTTGCGTACAGCATTATGAATATCAGAGTCGCTTGCTGCAATGAGAGTATCATCTGCAAAGAGATTGATGAATTCACAGTCACTAATGAAATGTATGTCATTCAAATAAAGTATGAATAAAACAGGGCCAAGTACACTCCCTTGGGGGACCCTGGTATTAATTACTTTTTGGCTTGATAGGACGTTGTTTATTTTAATACACTGAGATCTGTTGAGTAA